ACACCTGTAATCCCAGGTGCTCCTGGGAGGGTGGTGCACACCTGTAATCCCAGGTGCTCCTGGGAGGGTGGTGCCTCTGCTCTTCCAAAGCTCTGGCTGGAGGTGGGCTGCTCCATCTGCAGAAGGCTGCTGCAACCCCACGCCACCTGGTAGAACGGTCCTCTCAAAGACGCTCAGTCAGGAAGATCCCCTGAGCAACGTCATGATGGACATCCTATCTCAAAATGAAAAATACAAAAATGAGCTGGAGATAGAACTCAATACGAAGTCCCTGAGTTCAATCCACAGTACCACCTCCCACAAATGGTTTGTGTTCATTATCCAAGGGAACCTTTCAAAATTCACATATTGCATTCAGTGACTTTCCAGGGTCTGGAGAAGCCCAATAGAAATATTTATAAAAAGCTCCCCACTGGCTCTTCCATGAGAGTTCTGCTTCTCATAATTTCTGAATCTCATATCAAGTATCTGGTATGTCGTTCTTGCATAAGCTCATCTCTAATGTTGACATAAGATTCTGACTGGGATTCACTCACTGATGCAAGTTCCTGAGAGTTTTCCTTCTATGGATTCATTTAAGCAGCTTCTCTGTGTTGACATATGTGCTACTGTCAGGAGCCTGCATGCACATAAGGTGCATGTGAGTATGTGCTGATGTGTGTTTCTTTGGGGTGAGGGTGTCCATTCTGTCTGGGCACTTGTAGGTGTGCTGAGTGGGGTCGGGGCCCCTCTGGGTATGCTTACAGCTGTGTGTCTGGGATTGAAAGCCTCTGCTATGGGCAAAGCTGTGTATGTGAGGCCATGTCTGTGGCAAGGTGTAGACACAGCTTGCACACCTGCTGTGGTGGACTTGCCACGTTCACTGGGTAAGAGTCTCTGGAGGAGGGCCTGGCCGGGCCCTTGGAATGGCAGTGAGCTTTCTAGGTTCTGGAACTCACAGAGCTCCTCCGCTGGAAGGATGCTGGATTCTGAGCATAAACACAGACTTCAGTGCTGAGCATTCTAATTCTGCAAGTCAAGTACAGAGCCCAAGCAGCCGCCTGCTAATTAGCTGCCCTGGCGGGAAAAATTGCTGGTGTTGGAGTGGATAATGTGTTTGCCTGTTTCTGTGGGATTCTTGACCAACTGAGTGCCCTCCTCTCCTTCCTTCCAAGCCGCTCCCTGGAGCCTGGCCCCTGCACCCAGGCTCACAAGGATGGCTCTGCCTTTGCATGCTGGGGCTCTATCTAACACATCAGCTTTTCAAACAGGCCAATTGCTAAGCAAATGTCACTTGAGCTACAGCTTGGGAAATGATCAGTGAGACAAATGATCCATCTGAATAGGTGAAAATGCATCCCTTGCCTGATGCAGATGAGCTAATAACATCCCTGTGACATCAAGGACAGTCTCCCTGACCCCTCCCCAGGCAAACTGTGCTCTTGGGGACAGGGACTCTTTGTAACAGGATCCTGTAACCATGATATCAGGCTTAGTGATGCACAGATACACACATGAAGTATAAGCCTATGACTTTAACCTTTGCTACACTGTCACGTACATAGGCCCACATACAAAGGTGTCTGCAAATCCTTGTAAGCCCCATGCTGTCATTGTTTGTTTGTTTGTTTTGTTTTGTTTTAATTTTATGTATTTGGTTCAAGGTCTCACTTCGGAGCTTAGACTCATAATGATCCTCCTGTTTCAGCCTCCCCAGCACTGGGATTACAGGTGTACACAACTATGCCTAGTCTTGGTGGCCAGTGGCCTGTGGTGGGGCTGGCACAGCATGGGTACTCAGGATCGAACCCAGTCCCTGCACTTGCCTAGGCAGGCGCTTAGACTGTTGAGCTATCTCCTTGGCCCCATCATTGTTCTTTTCAAACTTAAAACTTACAATACCTATGCAACGCACTAGTTCACAAACATATACAGATATGAATCATGCAGACACCACACGGAGATTTCATTATAGATACATGCATTCCCCTAAAATTCTTGCCAAGTCTTCATTCCCATCATGAAGGTATGTGTAGGTCAGGCCTTTGGAAGGTGATTAGATTTAATCAGGTCTTGAGGGTAGCCCCCCCACACACTCTAAGATTGGTGTTCCTATAAGAAGAGGAAGGGAAAAGGGTGCTCAGGCTGTCTCTGCCATATGCAAAGGCGAAGCCAAGGGGCCTTCACCCAGACCAAATTATCCAGCACCCTCATATCCCAGCTTCTAGAGCTGTGAGGAACAGATCTCTGGCTTAGAATATTTGCTATAGCCATCTGGGCAGATTGGCAGATATAAACTAGGAATTACACTGGTGCACATTCATTTACATACAAATAAAAACCCTCAAGGCAGCTCCAGAGAGACACTGCCAGGCCCCATGTGCTGCTCCGCCCGTTACTGCTGGTTACCACTTACCCAACACTCACCGCACTGAGTGTTTCACGTGCTCACTTACTTTACCTTCAAGATAGCCCCGTGGGAAGACACTTTTCTGGCTCCATCTGATCAAGAGGAAATTAAAACTCAGGATTGGATGCACCACTGCTAAGTGACAGAGGTGGCATTTGGAGTCTTCTGTCTGCAGTGTGCATCTTCTAGGGATGATGAGTGATGTAGTACTTGGAGCTGAGGGAGTAGGAAACTTCACTAGGGTCTGAAGAGAGCCATCATGCCACCCTTACACCACTAACCGTCGGTTCCCCAGGGCCACCTGACATGTTAGGTCTTGCCCCTTGCAACTCAGTTACTGCAATTGGCCTTCCCAGGATGCAGGTGCACAGGCACCCCTAAAATTGCTAAAGAATCAGCCTTTGAGTTTTGTTCAAAGTAAAGATCAAAATAAAAGTAATGATATAGATTGATTTTAACAGATGTCCAATCTAAATGACAGGCTCAGGTCCAGGTCAGTGTCGACATATTCTGACCATGTAGAATTATCTTGTTCTCACTGGGCACCACTAAGCTGCTCCTCTAAATAACAGAGCTGTGTCTCACAGCTCGTGATGAGACTGTCGAACGTGCGTGCACTGCACTCTGCCTGCAGCCCCTCTCACGCCCAATCCAGAATGCTAGCATTCTCAGGCCCAGTCTCCCCTGCGCTTCACACATCCAGCCCTCCCTTCCCAGAGCTGCCCTGAGACTATTTGGGAGTCTTCAGCAACACTGAGCTGCAGTAGGGCCTGGAGCAGACGCATAGACATGTCACACCCCTTCTCCCTGGACTAGCACCATGGCTGACTCCCTGTGAAGGAAAACAAAGGTCCTCCTGACAAGCAAGCATAAATATTTTCTTTCCCAGACTGACTCAGATGAGGAGCTTCACTGTTAATAAAGTGACAGCTGGCTATCTGGGGGTGTCTGGACATGGCCTTTGCTGGCAGGGAGCATGTCATCCATCTCTGTCCACACCTTGTCAGATGACATGACTTTGCTGGCCTGCTCCTTTTCAGAATGGGTCTCAGATGGCAAAAACCAGGAGCATTTGCAAAACACCAGTTTCATCTTCTCTCTCTGAAGGGCAAGGTGGAGCCGCCCGGGTTTGCTGCCCTTGGCAAGCTGG